ATATTAATAAATATTTGGATAATCAAGGTTTTTTTCCCCCCATATAATGGAATTAACTTGCACTATATAAATGGATAGGAAGTGTACGGAAGCTTCAGGGAATTTTTGATGCACCTCTGAAAATGTGATATTGGGAATTTTGTGTTCTATATAACTGTTCAGGGAACAGAGCTTCTGAAAGAGACTGGTTGAAGTAGAAAAGATAAAAGATGGCAGGCAATAATTAAGTGAAAAATGCAGAGTTATAAAAGTACAGTGTTAATGCCCTTGTAGTAAATCGTATTCCTATACCATATTGTATATATTACATGTAACAGAGATAGTATATGGAACAGTATAGCTATACCAAATATTACATGTTTCTCTGATTTGTGGGCTTTCAGTGATTTTAAAAATTTATCTTCTACACCATGCCTTGTACTTTGGTTTTTTTGTCTTGTGCAGTATGGTATGTTTTGTAAAACTAGACTTTATTTTTAGAGCAATTTTAGTTCCAGCAAAATTGAGCAGGAAAGTACAGAGGGTTACTCATATACTCCTCCCCACACACACACATGCACAACTCCCCACTGGTACGGACATCTGCATCACAGTAGCTACAGGTATTAAAATCAATGAAAGCGAACAAGGCACGATTGACCAGTCAAATTCACAATTTACATTAGGGTTCAATTCCCGGGTGTGTACAAGCTATGTATAAGCTTTAAAAATTGTATGATAATAGCGTTTCCACCATTTTAAATCATAAAGATATTTCATCACCCTAAAGAATGCTTCTGTGCTCTGCCTATTCATCCTCCCTCCTCCTAACCGCTGGCAACCAACATTAATCTTTCTATTCTTTCTTGAGTTTTTGCTTTTCCAGCAGAATGGTATAAAGTTGGAATCATACATATGCCCCCTCGCCTGGCAGCCGTTTCTTTGCCGCTTTAATTGGTTTCTTTCATATTAATAATATGTATTTACCAGTCTTCATATCTTTGTCATGGCCTTGATAGCTAATTTCTTTTTATGTGTGTATAACATGTCCATTTCTTAGATGAAAGATCATTTAATGAAAGATTCCATCACATTTTAACTTTCAATCATGTGTATTTCTATTTCCATAGAAAAATATATTTTCAAGTCCAATTCTTATTTTGTCTACATTTAGACGATGAGGCACACCACTAGACGCCACATTAAATTTACCTATTTTCAGAGTTGGAAAGATGAGGAAAGGGTAGAGAGAAGGCAGATGATGGAGGTTGCGTTGGTGACAATGTGCATTGTCAGAATGGATGTACTGAGATCTTGACTTCACAGGGATGCAATACGCATCAATGTAGAGAAAATTGCAATCGCATGAATAAATAAACCGACAAATAAAAAATAAATTTCAGGCTGAGCACGAATGACTCATGTACGTGTATCCTAGGCATCTGGAGGCCAAGGCAGGAGGATTGCCTGAGATCAAGAGTTCAAGACCAGCTTGCACAAGAGTGAGACTCTCTCTCTACAATAAACAGAAAAATTAGCCAGGCATGGTCATGCATGCCAATCGGCCCAGCTATTCAGGAGGTGAATAAAGCCTGGGCTGGCTTGAGGCCAGGAATTTGAGATTGCAGTGAGCTATGATGACACCATTGCACTCTAGCCAGGGGAACAGAGTGAGACTCTGCCTAAATAACTAACTAACCAACTAACTAAATAAACAAATTTCACCAGTTTTATAGGCACTCATTTGTATGTGTATTTAGTTTTATGCAATTTTATTACATGTGTAGATTTGTGTAACAAAACACAGAACTGTTCTATTGCAAGGATCTCTTATACTACCCTTTTATAGCCAGACCCATTTTACTCCCCATTTCCCCTCATCCCTAATCCAAATCACATCCGTAACGCTAATCTGTTCTGCATCTTTATATTAATAGTTTTGTCATTTCAAAAATGTTATGTAAATGAAATCATATGTATGTATATAATTTTTTGAGACTGCTTTTCTTCACTTAGCATAATTCCCTTCAAATCTATCCGAAGTGAATCAATAGTTTGTTCATTTTTATGCTGAATAGAATTCCAAGGCATGGTTGGTTTAACCATTCACCACCTGAAGGACATTGATATGAGAAGGTTTTGATTTGACTCAATGTTTTAAACAATCACAGTGATTGCCACATGGAAAACAGTCTGGGATGAGGGGAGGAAGGAAGAACAAGTAGAAGCCTATTCAATAATGAAAGAAAAGGAGAAAGGAAGGGAGAGGGAGGCAGATGGAGAGTAATAGTCGGTTAGATTAGGGTAACAACAGTGGAGGTGATGAGGAGTGGCTGGATTCTGGATATATTTTAAAACTGATAGATTTGCTGATGGATTGATTTGGAGGTGAAAGAGGAGTCTGGGATGACTCCAAGGGTTTTGGCCTAGGCAACTTGAAGAGTGGAGTTTCCATTTTATTGTGAGGAAGAGAAGACTCAAGGAAGAGCATATAGGGAGTGGAAATGGGAAAATCAAAAGATAGCATTTCCCCACTCTTTAGATAGGCAAAGAATATAAAGATTAGGAGCCAGTGAGAATGTGGAGAATGGGAATTATAAATTAATTTAAACTTCTCAGGGGGCAATTTAGCAGTAAATATATAAATCTCTGATCCATCAATTCCTCTTCTAGAAATTTATCCTATGAAAAGATTAGGAAAAATACTCAAAAGTACAAGGATATTTATTAATATTTCAGCATTATTAATAATAGAGAAAAACTGGTAACAAATATCAATGAAGTACTAGTTTTAAAAATTTCAGTACATTAACACAATGGAATATGATCAAATATATACATTTTTTGAAACAAGGCCTTGCTATGCTGCCCAGGCTAGACTTGAACTCCTGGGCTCAAGTGGTCCTCCTGCATAGCTGGGATCACAGGCCTATGCACTGTGGCCAGCTTAAGATAAGTCTAAATATGGCTGGGTGTGGTGGCTCATGCCTGTAATCCTAGCACTCTGGGAGGCCAAGGCAGGTAGATCGCTCAAGGTCAGGAGTTCAAAACCAGCCTGAGGAAGAGTGAGACCCCATTGATTAATCAATTATTCTACTGAGGTACTTTGAGCAATGGTAGAATTAGAGGAGTGTTAAAAGCTTTAGGATGTACATACCTTTGACATAATAATCTATACTTCTGAAGTTGTCTTAAGAAATAATCAGAAGATATACAGTAATGTGATTAGCACTGTTAACAACAAACTAAGGGAAAGAAGGCATGCATCCTATAATAGTGGGTTGTTTATGAAATATTCCTCCCAGATACCCAAATGCTTGTCCCTCACTTTTCTTCAGATTCCGACCAAGGGTAACTTACCAAAGAGGCTTCCTGACCATCTATAAATATCTACCCCTTTCCCTCACCTTCTGGATCCTGCTTCAGCATTCATCATCACCTGATAATACATATTTGTTCTTATTGCTATCTCTCCCTGAATGTAAATGCCACGTTGAGAGGGCTTTGTTTTTGTCATTGTTGTATCTCCAGTGTCATAACAGTGCTAATTATAAATATTTAATGAATAATAAATATTTGGATAAATCAAGGTTTTTCCCCCATATTAATGGAATACTATGCACCTATTAAATGGTAGGAGTTTACGGTAGGCTTCAGGATTGATGCCTCCTGAAATGTATATAGAATTTGTGCTTCTATTACTTTCAGGAACAGAGCTTCGAAAGAGACTGGTGAATCAGAAAAGATAAAAGATGGGCACAATATATTAGTGAAAAGTGCAGATTATAAAGTACATGTTAATCCCACTTTGTATAAATACGTATTCCTATACATATGTATATATTATGTATCAGAGATGTAATGAAGTATATATCAAATATTACATGTTTTTTCTGATTTGTGGCTTCAGTGATTTAAAAATTTATCTTTACACTGCCTTTACTTGGTTTTTTTGTCTTGTTGAGTATGTATGTTTTTAAATAGACTTTATTTTTTAGCAGCATTTTAGTTAACGCAAAATTGAGCAGAAAGTACAGAGAGTTCTCATATACCTTCCTCCACACACACATGCACAACCTCCCCCACTGTCGACATCTTGCATCAAGTGCTACAGGTATTAAATCAATGAAGCAACAAGGACACATTACACTCAAATTTACAATTTAACATTAGGGTTCATTGGTGTTGTACAGTCTAATGTATAACCTTTAAACATGTATGATAATACGTTTCACCATTTTAGAATCATAAAGAATTTTCATCACCTCAAAAATCTTCTGTGCTCTGCTATTCATCCTCCTCCTCCCTAACCCTGGCAACCAACCACTAATCTTTCTATTCTTTCTAGTTTGCCTTTTCGAATGTTATAAAGTTGAATCATACAATATGCGCTTTTAAAATTGTTTCTTTCATTTTAATATGTATTTACAGTCCTTCATATCTTTTCATGGCTTGAGCTAATTTCTTTTTAGTGTTGTATACATTACTTTTTAAATGAAATACATTTAAATGATTTCTCACATTTTACTTTCAATCATCTGTATTCTATTTCCATAGAAAAAATATTTCAAATCCATTTTTATTTTGTCTACATTTAAGACGTAGGCCAACCACTTCAGACCACATTTAAATTTCACTATTTTCAGGTTGGAAGATGGGGAAGGGTAGAAGAGAGGGCAGATGATGAGAGGTTCTTGGTGGTAGCAATGTGCATTGCTCCAGTAATGGATGTACTGAAGATCTTGACTTCACCAGGATGCAATACATCAATGTAGGAATGAATTGCAATCCATGAATAAATAAATCCACAAATAAAAATAAATTTAGGCTGAGCACAATGACTCATGTCTGTAATCCAGCATCTGGAAAGGCAGGCTATTCTGTGTCAGACACTGTTAGGTGCTGGGGACACAATAGTGAGCAAGGCACACAGAGCTGCATTCTCAAGGAGTGCACAGTCTTGAGGGAGACACAGACTCTTTGGTAAAAGGAGAGCTATATGTTCTAGAAGAAGTTCTTACCACTCTGTCCATGCCTGTAAGGTTTCTCTCCCATGTGGAAAAGGACAGACTTGAAGACTTGGGCTCACTTCTCAGGCTTTCTACCCTGTGTGGACTCACTCTCTGATGAACATGAAGGTTCTTGTTGTAACTAAAGTTCTTACCGTAGGTATGGCACTTGATGTTTTTTTTCCCGTGTAAATTTGACAAACTCGAAGATCTGTGCTCCGACTGAAGCCCTTGTCACACGCATCACACTGTAGAGTTTCTCTCCAGTTTCACTCTGGTGAATGTGAGATTAGAGTTCTGAGGGAAGTCCTTACCACACTCCTCATACTTAATGGTTCCTCTCCTGTGTGAACTTTCTGCTGAGCACCAGATTTGTGTTTTAAGAGTTTCACATTTAAACAGTTTCTCTCATATGGACTGATTACATTTATAGGGTTTTTCTTCAGTGAGGACTCTCTGATGAATACAAAGGCTGGAACTCTGATGGAAGTCCTTGCCACACTCCTCAGACTTAAATGGTTTCTCTCCTGTGTGGACTCTCTGATGAACATGAAAATTGCTGTTATAACTGAAGCCTTTGCCGCATGTATCAAATACAAACGGCTTCTCTCCTGTATGCATTCGCTGATGATAGCGAAGATCTATGCTCCGACTGAAGTTCTTATCACACTCACCGCAGTTGTAGAGTTTCTTTCCTGTATAGAAAGGGGGGAGCTTTAAGAATGGGAAAATATTTCCAAAGATGAAAAATATGATTGAAAAATCATATGAAAAATATGATTGAAAAATTTAGAAAGTCAATGGAGGCTGCAAGATAAACTAACGTATACACATATCTAGATGAAGTTTCTAATTTCAAAGATCAAGAAGACATCTTATAAGCATAAAAAACATTAAAAACAAAACTATTTGTTTCCTTGAAAAGAAAATAAGATTGGCACAGTTTCTCTGCCACATCAAAAGGGAGAAGACAGTGCTACGATGTCCCCAGAGTCCTAATGGAAAAAGATTATGAGTCAAGAACCTTAAATCTAAACTGTTGATTCCCCTATAAGGGCAAAAGGAAGACAAAAAAAGCAAAGTAGCATTTCAGCCAAATCTAAAATTGGTCAACATAAAAATGCATGAAAAGGGAAGACAGGGAATTTAAGAAGTGGAAACGAATAATGAGTTTACTGACGTAAACAAAGCTTTTCCTCCTCTCCCGCCAACAAGATCTCATGAAATGGCAAGGGAAAACTTCCTTCAGCTAAAGGGTTCAGAAGTGAACAGGTTCAATTACTGAGAAACACGATTACTGAAAAAAAATCACACATTTAAGAACATCTTGGTAAAATTTCCAAACTCCAAGGAGAAACAGAAAAAATGAGAAACAGAAAAAAATTCTAAATGTTTCCAGAAGGGAAGGAAAATAGGTTAAACAAACAAAAATCCAATAAAATATTTAAAAAAGTAAATGAACTGGATTAGAATCAACAATATCAGAAGCTTTGAAACAAAGATACAATGGCTATAACATTCTCAGGGAAAATGATTTGGAATCTAGAGCTTTCTATTCAGCAAAAATTGTATTCAAGAATGGGGTGAATAGAAAGACCTTTTCAAACATGCAGAGACTCAGAAAACTTATTCATAAATGAAAAATCAAATCTATGTGAAAGGCAGATGTGAGATGTAAGAAATTATGGAAAGCAAGGGCTCTCATAAAAATTAAGACTAATTTAGTCTCTGAGAAAGCAGAAGTACAATGAAAAAGTTAATAACAATTATAAATGGTTTTTAAGTAACACAGTACGTGAGGAGATGAAGGGTATGTGTATGTATCAAGGCTATGTAAAAGCATGCTAATGCCTTTTCTTGTTCTGGAGAATGAGAATTCACAAATACTGATTAAAACTTACCATTGACAGAAAAATATAACTTAAAACTTATTAGCCAGGTACAGTGGCTCATACCTGTAATCCTAGCACAGTGGAGGGCTGAGGCGGGAGGACTGCTTGAGCTCAGGAGTTTGAGACCAGCCTGAGCAAAAGCGAGACACTGTCTCTACTAAAAATATAATAGAAAACTTAGCCAGGTGTTATGGTGCATACCTGGAGTATCAACTACTTGGGAGGCTGAGGCAGGAGGATCACTCAAGCCCAAGAGTGTGAGGTTGCAGTGAGCTATGATCATACCACTACACTGTACCCGGGGCGACGGAGAGAGACTCTGTCTCAAAAAAGAAAAGAAAATTCTCCACTGCTCTCTCTGGCTAAAAAAACAAAACAGAAACAAAAACAAGCAAACAAACAAAAAAAGAAAAATAATGGACAGGATGAAGATGATGTTAACATCCATTTATCTCACAGGGTTACTGTGAAGATTAAATCAATTAATTCTACTGAGGTACTTTGAACAATGGCTAGCATATAGATGGAGGTTGTTAAAAGCTTTAGGATGTACATACCCTTTGACATAATAATTATACTTCTAGAAAGTTGTCTTAAGAAAATAATCAGACAGATATACAGTAATGTAGATTAAAGCACTGTTTAACAACAAACTAAGTGGAAAGAAGGCATGCATCCTATAATAGTGGGTTGTTTATGAAATATTCTTCCCCCAGATACCCAAAATGCTTGTTCCCTCACTTTCTTCAGATTCCTGACCAAGGGTGAACTTACCAAAGAGGCCTTCCCTGACTACTCTATAAAATAGTACTCTACCCTCCTTTACCCTCACCTTTCTGGATCCTGCTTCAGAGCATTCATCATCACCTGATACATACATATTTGTTTCTTTATTGCCTATCTCTCCCCTGAATGTAAATGCCACGTTGAGAGGGGCTTTGTTTTGTTCATTGTTGTATCTCCAGTGTCTATAACAGTGCTAATTATAAATATTTAAATGAATTAATAAATATTTGGATAAATCAAGGTTTTTTCCCCCATATAATGGAATACTATGCACCTATTAAAATGGATAGGAGTTTACGGATAGGCTTCAGGGAATTGATGCACCTCCTGAAATGTATATAGAATTTTGTGCTTCTATTAACTTTCAGGAACAGAGCCTTCTGAAAGAGACTGGTGAATCAGAAAAGATAAAAAGATGGGCACAATATATTAAGTGAAAAGTGCAGATTATAAAAGTACATGTTAATCCCACTTTGTATAAATACGTATTCCTATACATATGTATGTATTATGTATCAGAGATAGTAATGGAAGTATATATACCAAATATTACATGTTTTCTCTGATTTGTGGCTTTCAGTGATTTTAAAAAAATTTATCTTTACACCATGCCTTTACTTTGGTTTTTTTGTCTTGTTGCAGTATGTATGTTTTTAAATAGACTTTATTTTTTAGAGCAATTTTAGTTCACAGCAAAATTGAGCAGAAAGTACAGAGAGTTCTCATATACTTCCTCCCCACACACACACATGCACAACCTCCCCCACTGTCGACATCTTGCATCACAGTGCTACAGGTATTAAAATCAATGAAGCAACAAGGACACATTACCACTCAAATTTCACAATTTACATTAGGGTTCATTCCCGGTGTTGTACAGTCTATGTATAAGCTTTAACAAATGTATGATAATACGTTTCCACCATTTTAGAATCATAAAGAATATTTCATCACCCTAAAAATCTTCTGTGCTCTGCCTATTCATCCTCCCTCCTCCCTAAACCCTGGCAACCCAACCACTAATCTTTCTATTCTTTCTAGTTTTGCCTTTTCCAGAATGTTATAAAGTTGGAATCATACAATATGCAGCCTTTTAAATTGGTTTCTTTCATTTAATAATATGTATTTACAGTCCTTCATATCTTTTCATGGCTTGATAGCTAATTTCTTTTTAGTGTTGTATAACATTCCATTTTTAAATGAAATACATTTAATGAAATTCCAATCCACATTTTACTTTCAATCATCTGTATTTCTATTTCCATAGAAAAAATATATTTTCAAATCCAATTTTTATTTTGTCTACATTTAAGACGATGAGGCCACCACTTCAGACCACATTAAATTTCACTATTTTCAGAGTTGGAAAGATAGGAAAGGGTAGAAGAGAGGCAGATGATGGAGGTTGCTTGGTGGGTACAATGTGCATTGCTCCAGTAATGGATGTACTGAAGATCTTGACTTCACCAGGATGCAATACATCAATGTAGGAAAATTGCAATCCATGAATAAATAAATCCACAAATAAAAAATAAATTTCAGGCTGAGCACAATGACTCATGTCTGTAATCCTAGCACTCTGGAAGGCCAAGGCAGGAGGATTGCCTGAGATCAAGAGTTCAAGACCAGCTTGCACAAGAGTGAGACTCTCTCTCTACAATAAACAGAAAAATTAGCCAGGCATGGTCATGCATGCCAATAGGCCCAGCTATTCAGGAGGTGAATAAAGCCTGGGCTGGCTTGAGCCCAGGAATTTGAGATTGCAGTGAGCTATGATGACACCATTGCACTCTAGCCAGGGGAACAGAGTGAGACTCTGCCTAAATAACTAACTAACCAACTAACTAAATAAACAAATTTCACCAGTTTTATAGGCACTCATTTGTATGTGTATTTAGTTTTATGCAATTTTATTACATGTGTAGATTTGTGTAACAAAACACAGAACTGTTCTATTGCAAGGATCTCTTATACTACCCTTTTATAGCCAGACCCATTTTACTCCCCATTTCCCCTCATCCCTAATCCAAATCACATCCGTAACGCTAATCTGTTCTGCATCTTTATATTAATAGTTTTGTCATTTCAAAAATGTTATGTAAATGAAATCATATGTATGTATATAATTTTTGAGACTGCTTTTCTTCACTTAGCATAATCCTTCAAATCTATCCGAAATGAATCAATAGTTTGTTCATTTTTATGCTGAATAGAATTCCAAGGCATGGTTGTTTAACCATTCACCACCTGAAGGACATTGATATGAGAAGGTTTTGATTTGACTCAATGTTTTAAACAATCACATGATTGCCACATGGAAAACAGTCTGGATGAGGGGAGGAAGGAAGAACAAGTAGAAGCCTATTCAATAATGAAGAAAAGAGAAAGGAAGGGAGAGGAGGCAGATGGAGAGTAATAGTCGGTTAGATTAGGGTAACAACAGTGGAGTGATGAGGAGTGGCTGGATTCTGGATATATTTTAAAACTGATAGATTTGCTGATGGATTGATATTGGAGGTGAAAGAGAGTCTGGGATGACTCCAAGGGTTTTGGCCTAGGCAACTTGAAGAGTGGAGTTTCCATTTTATTGTGAGGAAGAGAAGACTCAAGGAAGAGCATATAGAGTGGAAAATGGGAAATCAAAAGATAGCATTTCCCCACTCTTTAGATAGGCAAAGAATATAAGATATAGGAGCCAGTGAGAATGTGGAGAATGGGAATTATAAATTAATTAAACTTCTCAGGGCAATTTAGCAGTAAATAATAAATCTCTGATCATCAATTCCTCTTCTAGAAATTTATCCTATGAAAAGATTAGAAAAATACTCAAAAGTACAAGGATATTATTAATATTCAGCATTATAATAATAGAGAAAACTGTAACAGAATATCAATGAAGTACTAGTTTTAAAAATTTCAGTACATAACACAAATGGAATATGATCAAAATATACATTTTTTGAAACAAGGCCTTGCTATGCTGCCCAGGCTAGACTTGAACTCCTGGGCTCAAGTGGTCCTCCTGCATAGCTGGGATCACAGGCCTATGCACTGTGCAGCGCTTAAGATAAGTCTAAATATGGCTGGGTGTGGGGCTCATGCCTGTATCCTAGCACTCTGGAGCCCAAGGCAGGTAGATCGCTCAAGGTCAGGAGTTCAAAACCAGCCTGAGGAAGAGTGAGACCCCATTTCTACTAAAAAAAAAAAAAAATAGAAAGAAATTAATTGGCCAACTAAAAATATAGAAAAAATTAGCCGGGCATGGTGGCACATGTCTGTAGTCCCAGCTACTTGGGAGGCTGAGGCAGAAGGATTGCTTGAGCCCAGGAGTTTGAGGTTGCTCTGAGCTAGGCTAACATCACGGCACTCTAGCCTGGGCAACAGAGTGAGACTCTGTCTCAAAAAAAAGATAAGTCTATATTTTGACATGGATGGATATCCAACATCTACTGTTAGCTGAAAGTTACAGAACTCATTTTTATATAATAAACAAACAGATAAATGTACAAATAGATAAAAATATATAATCTTATATATTTTCTTCCTGCTGATAAATAGAAAATAGTCTCCTATAAATAGAAAATAGTCTGAAAGATACTTTTTACTTTATGTGAAATATACTTTAATATTTTTCTAATAAAAATAATTATAGGGAAGGAAGATGGGGAGTAATGGCTTAATGGATATGGAATTTTCTTTTGGGGTGGTAAAAATGTTTTGGAACTTGCTAGAGGTGTTGGTTGCACAACATTGTAAATGTACTAAATGTCACTGAATTGTAACCTTAAAATTGTTCATTTTATGTTATGTGAATTTCACCTCAAAAATACAAAAAGAGGCCGGGCATGGTAGCTCATGTCTGTAATCCTAACACTCTGGGAGACCAAACCAGGAGGACTGCTTAAGCTCAGGAGTTTAAGACCAGCCTGAGCAAGAGGGAGATCCTGTCTTGACCAAAAATAGAAAAATTAGCCAGGCGCCATGGCATGAGCCTGTAGTCCTCGCTACCCAGGAGCTGAGGCAGGAAGATTGCTTGAGCCCAGAAGTTTGAGGTTGCAGTGAGCTATGATGATCCTACTGCACTCTACCTGGGGTGACAGAGTGAGACTCTGTCCACCCCACCCCTCCAAAAAAAGAAAAGAAAGAAGTACAAATGGGGGAAATAGAAACTTAGGTTTTTACTTATTAATAGGTAGCAACATTTTTCTATCTTCAATAGTGATTTGGAAACTCTGATATTTGAAATTCAAGCCCTAGCTTAAACACTCTAAGAGCTCATAGTGTTTAACAACCAAGGAAATCAAAATTCTCTGAAGAGTAGTTGCCCTTACCCACTGAGAGCAGGTTGCCACATATCTCCAGCATCACCTCTCCATACAGAGTCCTTTGTGTAGAGTCTAGTTGCCTCCACTCCTCCTCGGTAAAGTCCAGGGCCACATCCTCGAATGTAATAGGTTCCTAAAACACCAATGAACAGGAATTCCTCTTCAGGGAGCGGCACCAGTGTGATGTGGTACAAAGGGCAAACATGGCAACACTGAGAAAGGTAGATACTAACAGTGACCTCAGAGCTCTGCCTCAAACCATAAGAATAATTAAAAGAACAATAAACATTTTAAAAGATACATATATCTTATGTAGAAGCTCACTCATAATCTGGAAGAGCTCTTAAAAATCAGAAAGAAAAAAGATAAAATGTTCTAGTTAAAAATGGACAAATGAAAAATAAAAAATGACCTGAATGAATAATTCCTAGAAGAAAAACAAATGGCCAATAAACACATGACAAGATATGCTGTCTCACAAATTATCAAAGAAACAGACATTCAGATAATGACATTCCAAAAGCTTAGAGAAAAAAAAGATAACAATGAGACATTATTTCTCCCAATCCACTGGGCAAAGGTTAAGACTTATAATACCCATTATTAGTGAGGGCATAAGGAAAGATACCCTCATATATTGTTGGAAGGAGTATAAACTGGTACTTTTTTGGAGAGCAACTTGGCAGTGTCTACTCATAATTCTAATTTGAGAAATTCATCTTCATTAAGATAACTAATCCTTTCTACACTTGATTTCTTGGCATTATTTGGCCCTATTGACTACACAGTCTTCCTCAAAACACTTTCCTTCCAGGGTCTGGATACCATAGTAATCTGATTTTTCTCCTACCTCTCTGATCACTCTTAATCTCCTTCACTTACCAATGTTAGGGTTCCCCAGGTTGAATCCTAGGTCCTCTTCTCACACTACTCACTTGCCCTATTTGATTTCATCTATTCTGATAGTTTCAAATGCTATCTTAATGCTGACAACTCTCAAATGTACATTTGCAGCTGAGACCTCAAGCCAGACTTACAGTTCTAGACCTAAGTACATACTAGATGAATATCTGGTCTGAAACACAGTGCCTGATTTATAGCAGGTAATCAATATCTACCCAATGAAATAAGCATTTACTTGGATATCTCAAAGGCATCTAAATCCTACATGCTCAATTCTAACTTTATCTCCTACTTCTCTCTCAATGTTTAGGAAATATTCAGAAAATTGAGTTTAGGAAATCATACCTCCAACCACCCAGATGTTTAAGTTGGAAAAATAGGAGTGACCTTTGATTTTTTTCTCTCCCTCATCCCTTACATCAGATCACTGAATCTTTCTAAATATCTCCTTTATCTCTGCTGCCACCACTTTATTCTGAGCCATACTGGTCTCTCACCTGTGCCTCCTAGTCATCTTTCCTTCCTGCAATATAATCTCTATTCTGGCTCTTCTTTTTATGGCCATTTCTTAAATATTTGTGTTCCTCAAGGTTCTTCTCTGTTTATCTTCTTTTTCTTCTCTTTTCATGTATCAAATGGATGATCTCAACCAAGCCGATGGCCTTAATGCCTGTTTCAATGGTGACAACTTATAAATTTATATCTTTAACCTGGATGTCTCTCAGGCTTTGATGTCTACTTGCCTTCTAGACTTTCTTAATTGGATGTCCCACAGTCATTTCAAACCAACTTCCAACTCCCTCCTCCACATATATACAATATCTCCACCTCTTCTGTTCTTTATCTCTGTAAAACATTACCATTTACTCCATGCCCAAAACTTGTGTGTTAGCCTTAACTACTCTCCTTTCTCTCACTCCCTACAACTATACACAGGTGCATAGTGTTCGGTATGTTTTAGATATTAATATATATTTCCAAGCCAGGTGAGCTGGCTCATGCCTATAATCCCAGCACTTTGGGAGGCTAAGGAGGGAGAATCACTTGAAATCAGGAATTTGAGACCAGCTTAGGCAACATAGCAAGACCCTGTCTCTACAAAAAATTAGCAGGGTGTGGTAGCATGCGCCTATAGTCTCAGCTACTCAGGAGGCTGAAGTGGGAGAGTCATTTGAGCCCAGGAGTTCGAGGCTGCAGTGGGCTATGACTGGGCCACTGCACTCCAACCTGGGTAACAAAGAAAGACCTTGTCTCTAAAAAAAATTAAAATTAAATAAAAATAAATATATATTTGGAAATGCCTATATTCTTTATATACTTATTTATCTATGCAGCCAGTTTCCATAACATTTCATTTCAAAGTTATATTTCAAAGTTAAGTTCACTGTGCCGGGCGTGGTGGCTCATGCCTGTAACCCTAGCACTCTGGGAGGCTGAGGCAGGCAGATTGCTCGAGGTCAGGAGTTCGAAACCAGCCTGAGCAAGAGCAAGACCCAGTCTCTACTATAAATAGAAATAAATTAATTGACCCACTAAAAAAAAAAAAAAATATATATATATATATAAATAAATTAGCCGGGCATGGTGGCACATGCCTGTAGTCCCAGCTACTCAGGAAGCTGAGGCAGTAGGATCGCTTGAGCCCAGGAGATTGAGGTTGCTGTGAGCTAAGCTGACACCACAGCACTCTAGCCTGGGCAACAGAATAAGACTCTGTCTTAAAAAAAAAAAAAAAAAAGAAAAGAAGAGTAAAGTTCACTGAATGCTACCTAATTCAGCAGTCTAACTGATACCTTTATTATCAAACAAATCCATAGATTCCTTGATCTGTCCATTCTTTTTGGTCACACAGCACCTTTAAATACCCTCCTCATATCTAGAGAATTCTTCACCTTATGAATCTGTGTCTTCAACATAGAAGCCAGAAACTTGCTTCTCAGTATCCCTTGTAGCTTGGTCAGCCAATCAAACACACTCACACAAGTCTTTAATTTCCAGCCAGAAATGGTAAGGATGGCAACAGAGACATCCAGCTTCCTAAAACAGTAGAAACAAATGTTCTAGGGATGGTGTCTGGTGCCCTAGCCCAGCAACAGTGGTCTCTCCAGTAGGACAGTCCTGTGTGATTTAGGCATTGTTCTAAATGGTGTGGCTTCCAGGCCTATTTCTTTGGCCTTTGAGGAGATTTGCAAGCTACCAAATATCCTTCAGTAAATGCCTCTTAGCTAGAATGGATACTGGCTATTTGAACCTAAGAACCTAGACTGATATGACTGGCTTTAGGAAACATATTATATATGTAATCACAACAAGTAAAAGAAAAGAATCCATATGACCATCTCACAGGATGGCAAAACAGCATTTAATAAAATAAATCAACTTTTAATTTAAAAACACTTTTAAAAGACATTTCTCTAGGTACCTAGGATACACTGATGAAATAAACAGACAAAATATAAACCCAAATGAGAATAACAGATATCAATATGCAATAATTTTAAAAAACAATAACCATTTGTGTTGCTTAGGACTTCAAAATCCTTCTGATAGATCATATTGACAGTCTTTTGTTCCCAATTCTCACAAAATGTAAAGTTTTCATTTGATCCAGAAGATATCATTCCTATTTTCAAGCAAATTTATAGATTCTTGGACTATCTCATAGACTAATTATCAAGTGCAAATATAGCTACATTCACACTTCAGTTGAGTGGCTGGGTATTAAAATGTCCTTGATAAGAATTGGTAATTTTAGCAATAGGTAAGCAGTTGTTCTACAAACTAAAATTATTTTATGGGATTACTTAAAAGCCAGTGCTTTCCTTACCTATTACTGTACTATAAAATTTATATGAATAAGGATGTGATAAGTCTATTAGCATGGTTATTTGTATTTATTATGATTTTAAGACAAAAGATTAAGTTACATTGTAAGAAGATGCTAAGAATGAAATTCAGTATCTTTTGTAAAGCTTTGAAATAATTCAATAATGATTTTTCAGTCTTGAAATTCATGTACCAATATCATTAATGTTTAGTCTATAAGAATTATAACTCTTGTTTTCTAAACTATATATTACATGTGACTTAAAGGCACACTAAAATGTAAACTCTGGATACCTATCTATTTCCTTAATTTGGTTTCTCAATCACCACAAACCTACTTCCTATATAAACCATTCATTGTAGTAAAGTGAATCAATACAAAAATTGCCAAATCTAGAGATACCACAACTTCAGAACTAAAGCTGATCCAAGTAAATTCCCAGTAATTAGATATGTTCATATAGCAGCATTTTCAATTCTTAATTATGAGAAATTTTAGAAGCTGGTTGTGAAAACAGAAATATTCAAGTTGGTCTTTAATATAGGGAGACTATTCATATTGACTTGGTCTTGAATCTAGGGAGATTGACAATATTTTGTTAAGGAGTTTGTTTTATAAATTTATTCAGGTACATATATAAAATTGGCTTTGTTCTTGTTAATAATGAATAATCATACCAGTTTCATTGTTATTTTGTAAAATCTGTTACTAAATAAAGTAGAAACTTGTTACAAATGCCTGAAACCACCGGTTTAAATGCTTAATCCTAGGGTTTATTTTAGAGAGAAGAAACAATATCAAGTGCATATATAACTGTACCACTAGAGATTATGCTGAAAAATCACTTGCATTATTAAAATGTTTCAAATCTATAATGATCCTATATACAGTGACTAATATAGGCACACACAAATTAGTTGCTGATATCAATGAAACTTCTAAGTCTATGATCTACTTGATCTTACCTACAAAAAGGATGATCTCTGGTTCTTCTCCATATTCTTCATTCTAGAATGTCTATACAGTACAGCTGTAATTTTTATTTACTTGGTAAAGGATTTTTTCTAACTGCTGCATATTCTTTTTATATAATATTTGCATTGGCAACTCTGAGTCTCTTATCTTGCCCACTACTTTGACAGATCTTGTATTTCTAGGCTAGATGCTTAAATTATGACTTTCCCCTAGGCTGTGGATGGTTATCATTACCATTCATCCATGGAAAAAAATTTGATGAAACCAACAAGTATTTCAAATACCCGCTTCCACAGGGAATATCACTGCATTTGCTGTTTTTTTCTGATGACAAAAGTGCTAAATATTACAGAAGATAAGAGAAAATACAGGAAAAAGTAAAAAATATATAACTATCCAAAGATTACTACTATTTACATTTTGGCATA